AGGGAAGATATATATATATAGATCTATGTATATGTATATGTATTTATTTACATATAGATCTATATATATCGGTTGCAACTTCAATTTACAAAATAAATGTATATTTGAATACCCAAATTTATCAATCAAGTGGTCATTTTGTTTTTTTATTTGTCATTTTTTGTTATTAAATGTTTAAACAAATTTATTTTTAATCTTTTGCCTTATTATTACTTATATTCATCAAATAATAATTATAAAATACAAAATATTAATAAAAAAATAAAAAAGTTATGAAAAAACAAAAATAAATGCATACATGTTTCGTGAAATAAAGAAGGCTTCCCGAGAAGTCGATTTTACTTTCTGAAAGACAAAATTGGCTTCTAAACGATCAATTATATCGATTTTTAAATTACTTTTTTTAAGTACGTTTTACCGAAACAGTTTTTATTTCTTAATTACATCCACTTCTAGCATTGAGTTTAGTCATTTATCAACTTATCAAGACAATGAAAACCTAGTTTAAATGAATAGACCATAAACAGCAGAAATAGGAAGGGAAGGACGAATATTGTCGTCCTCAAAAAACACAAGCAATCCAAATCCAGAAATAAGAAGATAGACGAACCAGCATGAGTTCGTAGAGGGTGGCCTGATCAACCTTCACGAAATCCGCGTCCCAATTCTTGAGCTCCTCGACACGCTTATCGTCGGAACTTCCACTTCTGGAGTGCTTCTCGCAGTATTCAATGACCTTCGACAGAATCTTGGTGTTGACATTGGGAAGAGGTATTACGCCATCCCCGCATCCATCCTGGAGCATGTGGAGGATACTCTGCGACTCCCTTGCCACTGCTTCTTCCACCACGAACATATCCCCATCTGAACTCTTCAGCGTCACCTTCATCTTGAACTGATTAAGGGGTGCTATATTCGACAAAGTAGCTTGAGTTCCCGGGATATATTTATTATTTCGGTAATCGGGATATACTCTTATTTATTGTAGATATATTTCTAATTTTAACAATCAATTTCATTCACAAAAATTAAAAAAAAAAAATACTCTTATTTATTGTAGATATATTTCTAAATTTAACTCTCATTTTAAACTACCCAAAAATAAGTACTTTTATTTATTGCAGATATAATTTAGCTTATACATAAAAGATGTAATTTACTTTTTCTAAATTTAAATAGTAATTTCTTTTGTGATATAAAATATAAGAGTGGCATAATGTAAAAAATAAAGTTTAGATGTTATATAAAGACAAATGAATATGGTCGCATCATGACATGTATGTTTGTTTATTAGTACTATTATTTATTTATGTTTCACCATTGATTTTCCTTGTTTTCCACTCTCTGTCTATTTTCTCCATTGATATATTTGTCATTCACCTTTTCTCTCATTTTTACTCCATGATATCACTTTTTTTCTCATTATGTGGGTTAGGATGAGATAACTCATAATTACTGAAGAAAGTACCGGAAACCACTAACTAGTGAGAAAGTCTATCTTAGTCTTTGCTATGACAATAAGGGAGACCGCATGTTATCTTGTTGGTTAAATAGTCTAAAAAGACTCATGCACTCGGGACGGTGGAACGTTATGAACATCTTCACCGGGAACGTTATACCAAAAATTTAGATTAATCCACCCATTTAGCATTCCTTTTTCAAGTTATTTTAGGTTAGGGCTTCACCTCTATCTAGAAATCAACCTTCTTTTCCTACCCTATATGTCTCAATTTAAAACGCAAATCCAAACAAAAATCTAAATCTATACTCAAACAGGAAGTCAAGTTTCCTCAAATCCGACTTCCAAATCAAACTCAATCATATATTAACTTCAATCCCATATCAAACTCAAGGTCATATCAATTTCAAGCTTAAGTTCAACTTGCCAAACTCAAATTCAATTCAAAACAATTCCAAGATCAAACCAAATTCAACTTACCTATGTCTCAAATTCAACTCCAAGCTTAAATTCAGCTTACCTATTGCCTAGGCTTAAGCTCAACTCCAAACACATAATCAAATCAAAACCCCAAATTTGATATTAAATCCTCATTCTTAGTCTCTAACTGGCAGGCTCAAACCCTATAAATTCAAGATTTTAAAAATTTAAACACAAATAAAAAACTCAAACCCAAATTTAATAATCCCAAACAAATTTCAAATAACTTTAACCAACTTTATAAAATATAATAAATTTAAATCAGTTCTAACTTTGTAAACTTTAATTAAACCTCATAAACTTCATCTAACTTTTACTTAAATCAGATCCATCAAATTTAAAAAAAAAATGTAACAAACTTAAATGGATTGTTAAGAAATCAACAAACCTAAATGAGTTTTAAGTAAGTCTTAACAAACTTTAACGAACATATATAAATTTTAACAAAAGTTAATAAATTTTAACGAAGTTTAACAAACTTTAAAAAAATTAAATGAATTTAGTAAATTAAAATAAACTTTAACAATCTTTAGTAAATCTTAGAAAAAAATTAACAAACTTATATTTAATAAAATTTAATAAGTTTTAACCAACCTTAACAAGCATTAATAAATCTTAAATCCTTAAGCAAACTTAAACAAATTTTCATAATGAACTTAATAATCCTCAAATAATGAATACTAAAAATCTTAAAATAACTTCTGAGATAAATTTAAAACTAAAATAATAATTTTCACCAACATTAAACAAAAGAATTTATTTTAAAGGCCTTAAACAAATAATTTTAAATAAACATAAAATAAACAAAATCTAAACACATTCCTAACAAGCAACTTCTACAACTTACAACAAACATAAATTGAAACAAATAAAACTTTAAATTAAATTAAACTTGACTAACTTAAGTTTTTAGCTCAAGTGAATCAACTCTAATCAAGCTCATCCAAATCCTTTTGATTTCTATTTAAATCATTCTAATCCTAAAGAAAACTTAAGCCTTTGATATCAATTATCTCATAGACATTTAAAATTCGATCGTGCATAATATAAGTCAAAACTTTAATTGAGAGTATTCTTAGAAGCCACCACTTCTGAGATGAATTTAACCATGAGAGCTTCCCAATGTAAGGATTCCAGACCCTATACTAAATAAACCTTATCATACACTTGAAAGGTAAGAGAAAAAATATGGTTATGTAGACCCAAAAATCATCAAGATTTTCATCATCCAGGTGATTAGATCCATTATAAAGTAATAATTCTTTCTTTCAGGATAGTATATTATTCTTTGGATGTCATATCTTATTAATTAAATAGAAATCTTTCAAGAACTATTATGGATATAATAAGAAACCCCACAAGTGGATATAATAAGGAACCCCACCATGTGTGTGTGTGTGTGTGTGTGTGTGTGTGTGTGATCAATAAATTTTTATCAAACATGAATCTAGTCACATTTTTTTATGAATTCTTCTAATTTTAAATTCAAGTTCTGTTGGGCCTCAATTTTAGCAAGTTTATAGTTAAACTAACTTTCTTGACCTAAAGATGAAAAAATTTGTTCAATCTAAGTTAAATCATGTTGCTAAAGCATAACTGAAGGTTTTAAATTATTGATTGAATAGTTAAATGAACTTCAATTTTGATATATTTATAATCAAGTTGGATGTCAAGATGAGAGGAATCCAATGACTCCAAGTTTACTAAAATTGTAGGTCATTAGGGGACCCAAATTTTAAAAATATATTATAATAAAGTGAGATCAACATGGACTACCTGATCAGATGGTTTAGGAAGTTACACACAAAAAAGTCTAAATGCCCCTTCCCATAAGGCTATAAATAAGTCACCTCTCATCACTTAAGGGGGAAGAAAAGGAGAAGACCAAGAAGAAGTACATTTCAGAGCTTGTTTTGGGGACTAAACCCAACAAATAATCATTAGCCTTTGTAGTCATAAACCACTATCGACCCCCACCTGTAGGCCAATGTTGACCACTATTGACAATCATCACCTACCACCACTGACTATCAGTCACTATCAATCGTTGCTAGCAACCATTATAGTCAAAATAAGGCTATTGTATCTAATGCCTGTATTTTGTTTATGTTGTATGAAAACATGTAATTTTTAATGTAAAATTTTTACCACTAGTTACGACCTTTTGATAAACAACTACTGTTATAATTTCTAAATACAGTCTCTATGGCTAACTACTACATTTATAACAACTAGCTAGGACCTTTATGACAAACAATTATTATTTTAGCCAAAAACCACATCTATTTATTGCCCACTTATGGCTATTATAACTAAAATATTGTTGTGCATCTGTGATTATCTACTTTGTAATTTTTCCTCATTAATTTTAGAAAAGAGTAGACCTATGCACTTAAAATTATATTATGGACTAACTTGACTTGATTAAGTCCAATGATGTTTTCTTTTAAGTTATTCCACTTAAAATAATTTAGTGTCTCCTCCTGCAATTTTTTTTTATCTATGTGTGATATAGATGTTCATGCAATGCTAAGATATTAAAATACTACTCTACTACCGTGAATGTTTTGGCACACAATAATTTGGTATTGTCTATGAAAAATGAAGCCTTTTTAATAAAATTCTATACTTCTTAAATGAATAATAAACACAATACACAAGCTATTGCTCTAACTCTCACTATTCCATGAAACAACTTTAAAGTCTAGGATGCCAAACCTCTACTTTATTTCCTAATGATATACTTCAACCAACTGATGAAGGAACATCCATTGACCTCTTGAAGATCATGTACAAAGAGTAAAGGACATTGAAAATGAGGCTTGACAACTGACGATAGTACATGCTAGAGGGGCACTATTACCTAAAAATCTGCAGATTAGAGGTACATAATTAACACTCCTTTCACACACTAAAGTTTCTCCTCATGAAGCTGACATCCTAGAAATTGTTGGCTCTACACATCCATCCCGCATAGTCAAGTTTGACAGATAAACTTCAATATGTGTGGATAACTTAGCTTGATCTCATCCATGATTTGTTATGACATCTAGTGTAATAAGAGTTTCCTCTATGGGATAATAACTATTTCTTGACTTGCTGTGATGGTTAATGGTCTTTGCCCTTATGTAAAATGGTCATCCAACCACTACCAAACAAACATTAAGCCCTGAGCTTTGACTTAGATGTGGAGGAACAAACATCACTACAGTCTCAATAGGTCATCACATCAACATGCTTTTTGACACCGAATTTGATCTTCTTTAGGTAAGAGCTTCACTCTAAGTTAAAAATATTTGATCTTCACCATGTCTTTCTTCCACATTGAGGAAACCCGAAAATTTGAAAATGTGAAGAAAATCTTGGAAGAAATTCATGGATCTTAATGTTGAACTCCTTGAATTACCATTAGAAGCCATGATTTACATATTAGAAGTAATTTTTGGAATTTTTATTTAATTTGATTAGATTAAAAATGGCTCCATGTCGAAGAGAAGAGTTGAGTTCAACGATTCACGCTTCGTTAATGTGATGGCTCAAACTCGATTTACTTCAATACTTAAAGGAAAAAAGTGTATACAAGATTGAGTTTTTGAGAGTCCGGGAGGAGAAATTGAACAGGTTACTGCCGAGCGAAGGTGGGAAAACTTTTGTTACACCACCAATAAAGCCGATACAAATGTGGTGAAAGAGTTCTACGCCAATGTGATTTATTCTGAAGACGGAATCATACAAGTGCGTGGATTTCCTGTGGAATTTACCGCCGCCCGCATTAACACTTTCTATGAAGTCCCAGATTCTTACAACTATCATTATAAATCATTTAGTATGATGGAAGGTCCCCTCAATGATGTGATTAACTTTATCACTGATAGGAAAGGAACGTGGAAGATAAATCAGCGAGAACGGGTAAAATTTTCTGCTTCCATGTTGAATGACACCTCTAAGGCGTGGCACTATTTCATTTCCTCTACTCTATTACCGACTTATCACCATAGTGAGGTAACTAGAGATAGAGCTATTCTGAATTTCTGTATTCAGAATAATAAAACTATAAATGTGGGGAGAATTATTTTCAAGATTATATTCACTACGGCAAGAAGTGAGACTAGTGGAGGTCTAGGAAATACCACAACTATTAAAACTTATTAATACACTTTGCCAACTTTCTCGAGTGGATGCTAAAGAGGAAGAATGGGTTCACCCTATGAAACCCATTAGTAAATCTAATTTGAAGACTTATGTATCCCATGCGAAATGGAGAACTGGAAGGAGTCAGGAACCTTCTACCATTAGAGATGTCCCCTGTACAAGTTATGACCCTCCTCCTCCTTCTAGCTCCCCTACCTTAACAGATTTGATGAATGAGTTAACCTTGCAAAGGAAGAGCATAGATTTAATAAACAAAAGGATTAGAGGTTTAGAATGCCGACATGATTATGATAGTGAGTACATGCAGAGGCATTCCAATTTTGAGATAGCTTATTATGACGCTCAGGCCCGACACTACAGAGGAGAGCCTGGTGTTACATTTCCTGAATGCCCCCGACATACTCAGTATCCACCCAATCCACCTGCTGATCAAGGTGACGATGAAATAGTTTGGGATTTTGATATTTAGAATGAAATTGATGTACTTATGTTTGTATTTTTTATTTTATATAGTCTGTTTGTAATAGAAATGGATGTTTATGTATTTGGACTTTCATTTTTATTATTTCATTGTACTTGAATGGTTTTATTTTCTTTATGGTTGTAAATGTTTAATGTGATAGTAAAAATGTGCATGTGTAAGTTATAGATGTTGCTCAGTACTTTATGGATTGTAATGTGATGTGATATTTATTTTCATTTTAGTATTTTTGTCTTTTGTTTAACATTGTAATTGTATTAGGAAATGTTGTATGTTTGTTTCAATTTTATACTTATTTCAAAATTTCATTTCCCAAAAATTCCTCTAATGATTTATGTGTGTAGAAAGCTCCTAATATTACAGACCAGGTGAAGTAAAAATTTGAGAAGACCTGCAGAAATTTCAGAATGATAAAGATGCCTACAATACTGAGGTATGATTTATATTTATAGTATTTTATTTCCACCTTTATTTCATTTTTAAAAATTTAAGTTTGGGGGAGGGAAGAAAAAGATTAACTATTAGATGTCCT